TCCATCATCTCATCTTCCTCTCCTCCTCTTCCTCTCCTTTTCCTTCTCTTCCTCTCTTCATCTCCTCCTTTTCCTGTCCTCTTCTTTCTCTCCTTTTCCCCCTCCTCCTTTCCCACAATCTCATCTTCCTCTCCTCCTTTTCCTCCTCTTCCTCTCCTTTTCCTGTCCCTCTTTTCCTCTCCTTTTCCCCCACCTCCTTTTCCATCATCTCATCTTCCTCTCCTCCTCTTCCTCTCCTTTTCCTTCTCTTCCTCTCTTCCTCTCCTCCTTTTCCTGTCCTCCTCTTCCTCTCCTACTTTTCATCTTCCTCCTCCTCCTCCTCTCCACAAACCCCACTCCCTTCTCTCACTGTTGATGTTGCCTAGTTGGGTAGCGAAACATCTGCAAGAAAACCACCGACAATCCAGCTGAGAGAGCACCAAGCACCACACAGTCCTCCTCTTCCTCCTCCTCCCCCCCCCCGCCCCAGACTTTAAACGTGGAAAGATTTCTCCTCTCCCCCAGGCTTTTTAAAATTCCACCCACAAGAACTCTTGAAATGTTTTTTTTCCCCAGCAGACAATATTTTATCAACCGAGCCAGCTAAGCAGAACCGCGGCATCAACGTCAAGAGCCCGGGAAGACCCGTGTAATCCAGGAGGCTCAAGGGGAAACGGAGTGGCTGAAAAATAATAATAATAAAAAAACCCGCTATGCTCAGAAGCACCTTCCCCGGTTGCGCTCTCCTCTTTTGACTCTCCTAACACGTTTGTGAGTTTCTGAGAAATCTGGGCACGTCAATAAAATCAGGGGTTGTTTTTTTCCCCCTACTGCTGCTGTCCAGAGATGCACCGGTGAGTTGGCCTGCCATATAAATCGATAAATAAACATTTTTCTCCTCTGCCGCTAGATCCACTGATGGAACTATGGTTTCTTCAAACTTGAGGGCGCCTCCTTCAAAGGTTCCAAGCTCGTTCCTGCACAACTGAAGGGAAACTGAGCAAGGAGAGAAGCAACCTAGAACTAAGGAGAAACTTCCTGACAGTGAGGACAATTAACCAGTGGAACAACCTGCCTCCAGAAGCGGTGAATGCTCCAACACTGGAAGTTTTTAAGAAGAGACTGGACAGCCATTTGTCCGAAATGGTATAGGGTCTCCTGCTTGAGCAGGGGGTTGGACTAGATGACCTCCAAGGTCCCTTCCAACTACTACTACTACTACTACTACTACTACTACTTCTTCTCCTCCTCCTCCTCCTCCTCCTCCTCCTCCTCCTCATCATCATCATCATCATCATCCATCATCATCATCATATTAACCGGTGGAACAACCTGCCTCCAGAAGTGGTGAATGCTCCAAGACTGGAAGTTTTGAAGAAGAGGCTGGACAGCCATTTGTCTGAAATGGTATAGGGTTTCCTGCCTGAGCAGGGGGTTGGACTAGATGACCTCCAAGGTCCCTTCCAACTTTATTATTGTTGTTGTTGTTGTTGTTGCTGCTGCTGCTGCTGCTGCTGCTACTACTACTACTACTACTACTACAGGCCGTCCTCGGCTTACGACAACTGAGCCCCAAATTGGCCTACCACAAACTCTGAAGGAAAAAAAAATGTTGGTTAAGGGGGTCAGCTGGGGGTTATATACGGCTGGCTAGTTGTGACACGCAAAGCACACCTAAAAAAAAGAGGCTGGGTGTGAATCCAAAGGACAGTGTCGCTTTGTGCAAAATAAATAGCTGGTTCATGAAACGCTTCTCCTCCCGACAGACAACCCAAGCATTTCAAGGGTGGCTTAAGACATTTCTGCAGAGTTAAAAACCTCCAGATGTGGCTCTAATCTTGGGAGACCGTGAACCCACTTCCAATCCCAAAAGGCCTATTTCCGGAAACGTATAAACCATTCCTGGAATGTTCCGATCAGCCAGTTCAAGCAGAGGGACGACAATTTTCTGCGAACCGCATTCACGTATCCCTGTCATACTGCCTAGGAGAGGGGGGAAAATGCATTTAGACTTCATTTAGTCCTAGATTGGGGTCTTCAAATGTGACAACTTTAAGACGCGTGGACTTCAACTCCCAGAATTCCTCAGCCAGCATAGCTTACTCTCTTGTAATCCCTTCCTATGCAATCTCTCCACTAGAGGAGGTAAGAGAAAAAAACAAAGCAGGCATGGCTGGCTGAGGAATTCTGGGAGTTGAGGTCCGCGAGTCATGAAGGGGCCATAGTTCCCCCATGATGGCTGAGGAATTCTGGGAGTTGAGGTCCGCGAGTCATGAAGGGGCCATAGTTCCCCCATGATGGCTGAGGAATTCTGGGAGTTGAAGTCCGCAAGTCATGAAGGGGCCATAGTTCCCCCACGCTGGCTGAGGAATTCTGGGAGTTGAAGTCCTCAAGTCATGAAGGGGCCATAGTTCCCCCATGCTGGCTGAG